GGTTCCACCTCCAGCACCTCCCCAAAAAATAAATAAATAAAGTTTTTAAAATAGTAAGGACTCTTCAAAGTGCACCTGCCTGCTCCTTCCTTCATTATCTTGCAGACCTTATTGTGCACACTTAGATTTGAACCTCACTGAGGTCAGTGTGTAAACACAACTCGCTCTGCTCTTATCACACAGGACTGTGGCATGTGCACCTTTCCATACATTAAGATATGCCACTTCCTTATCACTTAACACTTGCAGAGGTTACCTGGCGCTCTCTCATGCTGACCCTAGGCACCGGGTTCTTTTCAGTTCTCACTGCTGTCAGCAGCACCTGGGCTCACACCCGACACACCAAAGAAGTGAAGTGCTGAGCTCCCTGTGACAGAGACATCCAAGCAGAGGCTGAAGGGGCACCTCTTGAGAGCTCTCCTGACGTGGGTGTGAGTTTGGGCCAGGATTCTCAGTTTCCCTGTGCATTCTAACTCTGAGATTGTCCACTCAGCTCTGGTAACAATTACCCAATAACCTTAAGTCTTTCTCAGTTATCTATGTGCATATTTAGTTCAGGTTTCAGCTATTTTCTTGGGCTTTTGGTTTTTCCTTACGTGTTGGTATGTGTTTTATATTTTCACCATTACTTCATCCAGACCCTCTAAGAACATACGAGACCTGAGATTTTGTGTTTGTCAAGCTCAAGGGTATACACTATTAAATGTTGACATAACTCTGGAGTCACAGAGAGTTGTGACATAATGAGGAGTGGTCCCTCTTAATTTTCATGCAGGACCCCCTAATGTTAACTCACAAAAATGTGCCCTGGTCCCATCAGGAATTTACCCTGATATAATGCTACAGACCTAATCTAAATGTCACCATTTGTGCCACAAATGCCCCTTTTCTGGCCCAGGATTCTGTCTAGGTTCCCACATTGCTCTTGGTGATCATTTCATTCTCCTTCCATCTGTGCCAGCTCCTTGGTTTTCTGTCCCTTGTGACCTTGTGTCTTTTTGTTGTCCTGACCAGTCCCTTTGTAAACTGCCCCTGGCTGTAGGTGATGCTGGTGTTTTCTCATGGTGAGATTCTGGAGGGTGTTTGGAGAATGCTGCAGAGGGAATGAGCCCTCTCAGGGCACCCTGTCTGGATGGTGTGATGTCCAGGTGTCCTGTTCCTGCTCACTTAGACTCTGTCCCTTGGTTAAGGTGGGATCTGGCAGGTTTCTCTCCTGCCAACTTACTGTTGTGCTTAGTAATTAATAAGAGTCTTCTGGGGAGATGAGTGGAGACTGTGCCGACCTCCTTCCTGCTTCTCCTCATCCTCCTGCTCTGGGTGTAACAGCTGTTAACCCTTTTGCCTAAATCAGTCATTACAAAGCTGTTTGCCTAGTGGTGATTTTCTATCTCCATCATTCCTCTGAACTGATGAGATTTCTACTGTAAGCAAGAACTGGACCTGAGGTTTTAGAATGGGCTCCTGCCCTCCTGGAAAATACCCCATCCCAGAGGACAGGCTGGGCAGGGTGCTTTGTATTTAATGAATCATGCAACCATCTTGACAATCCCACAGAAAGGCTGACTTGTCTCCTTCTATAGAGGAGTCTGTTTTACTTGAACCTGAAACATCTGAAAATAAATCGCTCTATGTATAACTAAGAAATAGAAAGACTGGTTGTTTTCCTCTGCTCTATTGATGAACCTCACCTTGCTCAAATGTCTAGCTTTGTTGGGAAGGAGGTGCACTGGGTGGATGGAGGCCCCTGAACCCAGCTCCAGCCTCAGCAAGAGGCTGTGGGAGTGGAGCCTGAGAATGGATTGGCCTCTTGTGTGCTCCTAGATGTTTTCTGGTTCTCATTTTTGCTTTACTTCTGTAAATTTGTGAGCTGGCAGGAGGACTGGCTGGCTTTCTATGTGGAAGTAACCAGTAACATCTGAATTTCCCATTTCCAAAGACAAAAATGAAATAAAAATTCCTCAGAAATTTCTGACTTGGATGGTGAGGCCCATGCCTGTCATCCAGCAAGTCGTTAGGCTGAGGCAGGAGGCAGCAAGTTCCAGGCCATCCTCAGCCATGTAAGCAATTCAGTGAGACCTTGTCAAGTTAAAAGTAAAAAATCCTGTGGATGCAACAAAGTGGTAGAGCATCCCTGGATTAAGCCCTTACTACCATTAAAAAAAAAAAAGGACTTTTCTTGCAGGCACCCAGTCCCAGTCCTGTCCCATCACTCATGGGCAGC